TGTAGTTTCTAAACCGTAGGTGAGAAAGGCGCCTGAACTCGAGAACGGCCACCTTCCCAACTATCCACACTTCTGGACCTCAGGGGGCCTCCATCGAACCACCACACTACATGAGAATAGACAAACTTGGACAACTTCAAGCGATGGATGGTGAAGTGCGCCTTTGAGGTCATGGTGACCAGGGCTGCCCCCCAAGGTAAGCTTAGCGCATGGTACGCGTGATCTAGGGCGCTTTAAACCTGTGACAATGTCGAAGAAGCTTTGTTTGACAATGAATGGTTTTTCAAGTAAGCCGTTGGTTTACACGGAGCTTTGATGTGAGAGCATACTGATTTGGGTGCGCGGTCATTAAATGACTTGAGCATTCATGGGTTTATTTAAGCCATGGCTTAGTGTACTTGCGTCCTTGAAGTTGCAATTACTTGGGCCAAAAAGCATTTACTTGAGCACTGAAGAAACATTGATGTGGCAGCGTATTCGATTGCTTTGCCGGGGACATCCAAGCAGTACTTACTCGAGCCTTTGGTGGATGTCGAGAAAGGAGAAGCAACCTAGTAAACTTTCAAGATTTTGATTTCTCATGAACTCGTTATGAACTCTTTATGCATTTCTTATGCGTTCCTTATGCGCTTTTAAACAGTGCATAAGTAACGCGTACATTTTGTTGCACTGCCAGACAGCGAATGCAACTCATCACGGGTTTCACTTCTTTAGGGTTTGGGCCCACACCTAACAACTGACCTTTGAAGGTTGTTTGAGGCTTCAAACAGGTTTGAGAAGGGCACTTTTCTGGCGCACTTGTTCTTCGAACAGGTGTGAAAAGAGCTAGGACAAAGTGTGTGCGCCCTCTAGCATCATCATATTGGCGCTTCGAACAGGGGTCAACGAAAGGACGCGGACGCTCTCGTTTTCTGGTCACCTAGTGTTGCAGCTTTGAAGGGTGTTTCATTGTTTGAGGCTTCAAACAGGTGTGATAGAGGCTTTTTACTGCGGCGCCCACAACTGCCCTTGTGAGGTTTTATTGAAGCTACGAACAGGTGTGAGAAGAGCAGTTTTTTAGGAGAACCTGCGCGTCATCATATTGAACCGGGTGAACAGAAGGGCGCGGACGCTCTCCTTTTTCCGGGTCACCCAACAACTGCCTTCTTGAAGGGTGTTTGTGGCTTCAAACGACGTGAGAAGGGCACTTTACTGGGGCGCCAAAGAACTGCCCTTAGGAGTTTTTACAGCCTCGAACATGTGTGACCTTACGGACACTTTGCTAGACGTGACCCTGTGTGCGCCCTCTAGTATCATGATATTGATGCCTGAGTTCTTGCAACTTGCTAAATCTTAGCCGCCGTGTTAAAGCATGTAAGCGTTAAACCGTTAATTGCTGTTGGCTTCAACCTTCCACCTGTGTCAGCCTCTGCTTCAGAGCCAAGCGAAATGAAGTGAATCATACCTGTAACTAAATCCCTTCCAGAATCAAACACCCTAGGGTGTCAAACCCACGACTGATTTGTAAAGGTGTTATTTTTTGCGAAATCAGATTCTGGGGGTTTTGATTTTGTAAAGATCTTGCATTTGGATGAACTCAGAGTGGGTGCCATGACTTTGTGGACGCGAATCATGAATTTTTGGATGGTGTGATTTTAACCTTTTTTCCTGGGCTGGATGCTTTGATTCTGTGCAGACAGAGGAAGGGTGTCTCGATTTTGTAAATGATGCTGGATACTCAAACATCTCAATGACATTCACTGAACTGGACTGACATGAGAGACCATGAGAATATATCAGACACGTTTCAGATCCAGGATATTCATGCAGCTTGAAGGGATTTTCCCCAGATAGCGCAGCTATGGGGTTCTTACTTCAAATAATAGTGAGCTGCCCGTGCGCGCTTTCGAGACAGGTTGCTGGTGCTGGTGCTGGTGCTGTGAGCTGGCTGTGCACGTGGTGGAGACAGGTTGCTGGTGCTGGTGCCGGGTGCCGGTGCTGCTGCTGGGTGCCAGGTGCCGGTGCGGTGCTGTGAGCTGGCTGCGCACGTGGTGGAGAGAGGTTGCTGGTGCTGTTGCCGGGTGCCGGTGCTGGAGACAGGTTGCTGGTGCTGGTGGTGGTGCTGGGCGCTGGGCGCCGGCGCCGGTGCTGGTGCGCGCGTGGAGACAGGTTGCTGGCGCTGGTGCTGGTGCCGGGTGCCGGTGCTGGTGCTGGTGCTGGGTGCCGGTGCTGGTGCTGGTGGTGTAGCTTGCATATATGTGGCGATCTTTTTAGCCCAGATAGCGAAGGTATGGGGCTCTTACTTCAAATCACAATGAGCTGCCTGGGCGCGCTTTCGAGACAGGTTGCCGGTGCTGGTGGGTGGTGGAAACAGGGTGCCGGTGCTGGGCGCCGGTGCCGGGCGCTGGTGCGGGCTGTGGTGCTGGTGCTGGGTGCTGTGAGCTGGCTGCGCGCGTGGTGGAGACACGGTGCCGGTGCTGGGCGCTGGCAGTGCGCATGGTAGAGACAGGGGGCGCCGGTGCCGGTGCTGGCAGTGTGCGTGGTGGTGATTGGGCGCCGGTGCTGGGTGGTGGCTGTGCGCGTGGTGGAGACAGGGTGCCGGGTGCTGGTGCTTGGTGCTATACCGGTGGGTGCTGGTTCTGGGCGCCGTAAGCTGGCGCGCCGGTGCTCGGTGCTGGTGCCCGCTTCTGACAGTGAAGTGATAACAACCGCCGCTTCTGTCAGTGAAGGGTAACAAACCGCCGCTTGCAGCAGTGAAGGGCGACCAAGCGCCGCTTCTGACTGAAGTGCAAGTAGTCATGGGCCGCGTGAACTTATGCACGCAACATCATACGGTGTTGTCGCTTGAGCGTTCTTTGTCTATTAGCGCTGTGGGGTATTTACATCCTTCAGGTTCTGTTTTGGCCGACAGCTGTGTCAAGGGCTGTACTGTTTGCGCGCATACTTTTGTACGTATAATATTCTATGCGTCAGGCTCTCAACCGACCATTGTACCAGCATGTTTCAGCATGCTGCACACACAATGGTCGTGCTGGATACTGCTTGGCCTTGGGTGAGTGAAGCCTACGGGCTTTGCCGATTGTGCGCATACTTTTGTGCGCATCAACTTATACGCGCAAGATCATACAGCCTTATCGTTCTGCAGGTCGTTGCTTCAAGCATGCTACAAAGTCAATAGTGGCGCTGGATGCTGCCTGTCCTTGGGCCAATGACACTTGCGGGCTTCGCTGTTTGCGCGCGTGCTTTTGTGCGCATAAACATATACGCGCAAGATCATACGTTGTTATTCCCCAAGTAGGGATAGCTATGGGGTTCTTGCTGCAAATAAGAATGAGCTGGCTGCGCGCGCTTTCAAAAGGGTGTCGGTGCTGGTGCTGGTGTTGTGGTCCTGGGTGCTGGTGCTGTGTGCTGGCTGAGCGCGCGTTTAAGACGGGCGGCGGCGCTGGTCGGGTGCTGGTGTCAGCTGATTGTGCGAGGTGTCGTAAGCTGGCTGCGCAGGCTTCGTACATTCTTGTTCCAGCCAGTCGCATGTCAACAGGTCGTGGGATTCTGCCTAGCTATCTGGGTCTATGCTGGTGTAATTTTTTGTATTCTGGACCCTGGTGGTCTTGATGTAGTGTTTTGAAGGGTGGGGTGCAAGAACTTGTAAAGCTAACATGCATGTACACTTGTGCCCAGGGGTCCTGGATTTTGTAATGAACTACTCTGTTCTCGATATGGCTGAGTGACTGATTATGTAAAGATTTAAGAACAGTTTTCTCTACCACAGGCTGGGGGCCTTGAATTTGTCATTCCAGGATCAGGCCCCCCAGCGGTAAGCCCGTTCATCTATAGTATAGTGAGTCAGAGGTTTGGCGACGCGCAATCATGTTACCACTTGGTTCGTCCCGGCTGGTCTCCGATCTGCTGCAGGGTTAAGTTAGAATTTGGGGTTCCGCGCTCGCGCCGACAAACTCCCATCCAGTCCGTCTCCGATCTGGATTGGAATTTTGTGTTCGGTTTCCGCGCGGGTGTCGCACGGGTGTCTCACATACAGGTCTCCGATCTGGATTGGAATTTTGGTCGCGCCGATAGTCTCCGACCCAGTCGGCCTCCGATCTGGAATGAAGTTTCAGCGCGGACCGTCTCCGATACGGCCGGTCTCCGGCGGAATATTGGTCGTGGCGATAGTCTCCGATCCAGTCAATCTCGGACCTGGAATGGAATTTTGTATGCGGCTTCCGGACGACCGTCTCGGATACAGCCAGTCTCCGAGTCTCCGATCTGGATTGGAATTTTGGTTGTGCCGATATACCGCTTCTGTGTCATGGTCTCCAATCCCGATCCCGTGTTTCTGGTCTGTGACTCCTGGTCTCCGATTCTACCTTCTCAGTGTCCGACTCTCATCTCCGATTCGACCGCCGCCCCATGTAGATTCTATATAATATAGTCGTCTTCTTTTGTTCTGTTTGCATGGGTAGCACCAAACAACAAGGTTCCAGTCCAAACATGCCCATCTACGTTTACTTGTGGACTAACCTTAGCTTTCCAAGGTGTAGCTTGGGAGACTCCGAATACACTGTGAAATACTGCTCCGACCTTACATGCCTCGTGCTTTCACTTTTGCGTACGCCCATTATTCTTTTATGTTCTCTTGCACCGAGGCCCAGATCAAGACAAATTTGTCATCAACATTGTGAAGCAACTCGCTTTAGCTGGTTTCATCGGGAGTTATGCACAGATGTTTTACTTCAAAACCTTTTGCGATTACCGAGGCCTTGGACGGTCGAAGTCACACTCAAAAGGCAGGAATGTGGAGCTGCTGATGAGAGGAAGAAGGAAATCCTGCCGTGAGAAGATGAAAAGATAGCTGAAATCAGTGAGCTCAAGAGATGAACTTAAGACAACTTAGTTGGTACAGCTTGCTTCGGCAAGCCTTTTCTGGTGCTGGCAATGTCCAGTGTGCACGCAGACCTGAGCCTAACACGGCAGTACACGAAGACTTTGGAACCTCTGTGACTGATCTAGATGCAGCACAAAGTGTGCGTCGTGCTTGCGTCAGTCGACTCTCAATGTAAGTGTCTTGACCTGGTCAGAGAAGTCACGCTGCAAACTTGGTGGTGTATGGACGCATGTGCTTCGTGTGATCCTTGTGGCTCAAGCAGCACATCCCAAAAAAGGATTCGCTTTCAAACATTAACTTTCCAAACAAGACAGCTCTGCGCTTGCTGCTTGAATGCTATATCTCTTAGCCTTATTCAGCCCAAGTTGATTTGAGGTCGCGACAGTCCCAGGACTAAAGCCATGAATTCTATTCGCCTGCTGACACGCTTTGGGGTCAAGTTTCCCGGACGTGGACAGAGAATACCACAATTTCATTGTTCCATTGTGGGCAGGGCATGCCCTGCTAGTAGGATGACATGTGACCGGTGGACAGGCCGGCCCTATGGTACTCTTGGTAAACCAGAAGATGCAGGTGGCCAAGCAGTTTTCGCCAGCGCGCCTTGCGCCCTTTTGCCCACGTCGTTGGCCCCAGCATCGCTGGCAGAGAGCGACTATCGCTGGGTCTTCGAAGACTTGGTCAGTGTGGATTCGGTCGGGATCGGGCTTCCCGGCATCGTTTCGTTGGGGATTTTTCTGAACCCAATGTTTGAAGCGATGCCTCGCATTCGAAAGCTGGGACACGTCGGAGACATGCCTATGCTCCCATACTCAGCAATGGCATCCCAGGGAAGTGTTTGGACTGCATATGGCATGCTTCTAAACAATCCTGCGATATGGACACCGAACCTATGTGCAACGCTGCTTGGGGTCTACTATATGTGGGTCTATTGCACTCACTGCCCCGACTTGGGACACGTCTTGAAGATTCATATCCTGAAGAAGCTGGCCACTGTGATCTTTGCCATCGTAGCCTACGGCTTTCTGCCACACGATCTTGCCTTGAACTTGTTGGGAATTGCTGGGAATGTCATGACAGTCTTCATGTTTGGAGGGCCACTTGCAGCTATTCGAACAGTTGTTGCGGAGCAGAACACAAAGGCGCTGAACCTGGGTTTCACTTGCATTGTGAATCTGAATTGCAACTTGTGGTTTTTCTATGCGTACTTCATGCTTGATGATCCTTACATATACCTTCAAGATGGCTTGGGCATCATTTTGACAACGATTCAGCTGGGCCTTTTTGCACGGTATGGTATTCAGCGACACTGACATGTGAGACTCTGTCTGAGACAGACATAAGACATCATAAGACATATGTTATGTTTTCTCAACCTTGGCAACATGCCATTGGATGAAGAATGACGAGAGGTGGAAGGCTGTTTGCCAAGTAACCTCAATTGGCAGCGTCATTAACTTTTGAGCCATTTGCCAGCTTGGCACATTGAAATGCATTGGCTTCAGCCTCGGCTTTAGGTAAAAGATGCAAGATCTTTCTTGGTGTGTGACACCAGTGTGAACGACAATAGCTGGAGAATGTTTTGTCACTACAATCGTTTCGCTCCTTGAGATCGCATGCAAGCAAGACATGCACACATGCTATGTCTCATTTGGTCACAACTGTTTGTACGCCGACTCCTTGATAGAACGAAGGCAGGCCGAATGCACATTTCACAGATGTACCCACTGACTCAGATGCAGCATTTGCAGCCAATGCCCACTTAAACAGCATCACATGGTCAACGTGTTGAGTGAGCTGCGAATGAGCAGCACCTCTAGCAGCCATGGGAACTGCATCCCGTTGTTTCCTTTTGATCATGCTACTGGGCTCAGTGTGTCTTGTTCACTTGTGCAAAGTCACCAGGCCCATGCGAAAAAGCTCCTAGTAGCTTCTTGCTCCTAGTAGTAAGGCCCTAGTAGCGTCCTTGCTCCTAGTAGCGATGCCAGGAGCCCCTAGTAGCGAACCTTGTTCACCCCTGGTTGTTGAGGTGGAGCACAGCGAGAGCCGCATACTTTTTTGTCGAGGACCCTGCTCCTGGGACTCACTCAAGTCACGGGCGTTGTCATCCGACAGGAAGGCTCTGAAAGATGCTTTCAACAAGAAGTGCTGGAAAACCAGGCTGGAAAGCTGCCGAACAATGTCTCAAAGCCAAGCTTGGGCTTCACTTACATGCAGGTCCTTCGGATTGCCTACAATATGAATGACAAAGAGGTGGGCAGGTCCAGGCTCTTCAATTTGGAGGAGTAAACAATCATAAGAAATCCATTTGATTTTAACAAAAGAGATATAAGCAAGTATAAGAGGCCGCTGTTGCATTTTGTTAACTTGCTATTCTACCAACAATCTTTCTTGCAGGTACTCAATAAAGCTGAATGCAAGATCCTAGTCAAAAGTCCTTCAGACGAGGTGGGAGCTCACTGGACTGCCTCGACTCCCCCTTTTCCAGGAACCAAATCCATCATGCAAGCCTGAGCTCTTCTGCGTCCAAGCTAGTACTGAAATAAACTACTACTCACCCTGATTACTAGTTACTAAAATTTCTTCACGGGCTACCTTCCACACATACGCACACACCAATTTCAAAGCGTAAAAGGATCAACTTCGCTTGAACTGCTTAATTAAGCTCTTTCACCTGATTCAAGGTAGTGAAGGACCATGCGCTTGTGGACTCCCACGATGGAGTGGTCTTCCCAGTCTCTCTCAGCCTTTTGTGGTAGTTGTACTTTCCCAGTCAGACTGTACAGATTGATAGCTACTAGTAACAAGGGCATTGCTTGTTGCAAGGGCATTGTTATACTAGTAGCAAGAAGCTACTAGGTGAACTGGGATCTCCTCTTTCCACTTCAGGTCTTGGCACTGGTCCCAAAGGAGCCCGGGCCATACAGCATATGTGTAAAATGTGCTGGACAGGTGCAATCCTCAGCCCGTACTTGCACAAACACTGTTGCAACTTTGACTTGGGGTAGGTGCTGAATATCTTACGAATAAATGGCTCATTCTATTGAGTTGGACCGCAGATCATGACCAGCAGCGTACACATGTTTGCAGGGCCTTTTGTCAAGCTTGGGGGGTGGAAGGACAGAGTGATGTGCATGTATCATCCAATATTTTCAATCAAGTGGCGCAGCATGAACGCTGAAGAGTGCTGTTCCGAAGGAAACTGCGATGGAGGGCCCTGCATGGTTTTGCTCGTTGTTCTTGCTTGGTAACGGTCTTTCTTGCACAGTTGACACAATTTTGAATGGTGCAGCGTTGATGAATATGTGGCGTGGCAGGTCTATTGCTTTTGAAGTGCTGGGTTCGCCCCGCCTTTATATTCTCCAAAATTTGAATCTCATGCCTCACGTCGCCTTGGACAAGTCAATTTGTGGCGATGTCCCTGCCAGGCGCATCTAGCCTTGGGTTGCTGCCGGACAGAAGCTTGAGATAGCTAAAATTCAAGGTATAACCAAAGTGACCAACAGGAAAGCCAAAACGCTGCAGTCAGCTCGGGGTTCCTCAGGACCCCAGGAATGCAGCCCACCTGTCACATTTGAAGGGCACGCAGGCGGAACTCGCCTTCTGTATGTTTTAGTTGTTGGCACATTTACACGCAAGTATGCACTAGTAGCAAGGACGCTACTAGGGGCTCCTGGCATCGCTACTAGGAGCAAGGACGCTGCTAGGAGCTCCTGGCCGTACTACTAGGAGCAAGGACGCTAGTGGTTTTCTGTCTTGTGCCGCCCAGATGTGCTTCAGGCCCAGGTGGATGTGCTCTTGGAACGAATCAATGAAGCCCTGGCGTGATTTGAGCCATGCCACGTCACGCCGCCACGCCCAGTCGCCACGCCCGTCGTCATTCTGGGGACAGGCCATTAGCGTCGAGAATGACTATGAGAAGGCCTTTGAGGCGACTACTGAGCTGACATGGCGCAGCAGTGACTCCTGGAATGGTGACGCATGTCTCTAGCTCCAGCCTTCTCAGTGTGACAGGCAAAATTTGTGAAGGCATCTGAGGCCGTGAATATGGATGTAGCAGCGTTCAAGTTCCTCCAGGCCCGGGTTGCATTGACGCTGTATCCCGGCCTTCTTGCTTCGAGTGTCCCTTGAAAGACATTTTGGGGGTGCGCTTGCCAGATCATTCTGATCACCGGCGTCACGGCATTTCAGAGACTTAGCTTCAAAAGAAGGAAAGCAAACACTGTAGTATCAGATCCCACAGAATGCATCTCTTGAGCTCAGGATACACAATCTAGCAAAGTTTCTGCAGAGGCCGATAGGTGTAGACTGCGGTGTTTTTTTTTCCCCTCATCTCTCGTTGCCAGGAACAAGTTCTTGGAGTGCTGCTTACCCATCGCCATGAGAATGAAACCAATGGTCACTGGGCGAACTGGGCGAACTGTTTCGCATCGAGCGTCGAAGATCTCTTTCGATCTGTTCACCGTCGCCAAGGTCTGAGATCGTGCGTAGCCCCCAAAAGGTCCGAAGTGCTTCAGACACAGAAGACTACGCGTCGTGTGAGCTGAAATTCAATAAACACCGTATCAATTTGATCAGCAAGATCATGACACCTGGCTTTGCTTGGATTGATATTGTGGGTTCGAAGCGCAGCCTGGTTCAAGTACTTCAAGCTTGACATGCCACCAGAGAAAGCCCAGCTCCTTAAGGACAACATAGAACATCATAGAACAATAATTGAGGCCAATTGAATCTGCCAGATCTTCCAGCTGAGGCAAGTGAAACGAGCAACATCTCGTCATTCTACCTGGGATGTTGAAATTTGTAACTCTCAGAATACTGTGCACATCCAGTACAGTACAGGTTCTACACTAACTGTACTTATCATATCCGCTGTTCTTGACTAACAAGCTCAACTCTAAATTTCACTAGCATGTATTTTTCATTGTAAACATCCTTGGTTTAATTAAATGGCCAAACCTGCGTAGCCACGGGCGCTTTCCTTGATGTACTTGACACATTCAAGTGCAATTGCAATCTGTTTCTGCGAGACTGAGGCAATATGCTGATTAGCAGACTCCTGTGGGCTTGTGCAGTGCTACATGCCGCAGCCTGATGGCTGCTTAAAGCCTGCTCCTGATTTTGTTGGCTTCCACATGAGGCTGTCCTATCGGCTACTGCACCAGATCAGGCAACGGACATGTTGTTGATTGGATTTTCACATATATAATGTTTTCATACAGTATCAATGCTCCAGGAGCAGGGCCCACCTTGGACCTATGCTGACCAAAGCAGCTGGGGCAAACTCAGTCACTTGCTTAGGCAGCGGCAGTAAGAGGCTCGCCATAGGCTCTAGCGGCCGGCGAGAAAGACCTGCAAACGCTCTGAATGCAAAGAGAAACTCTCCTTTTCAAGGTAACTCCAAATGTGGAAATGAGGGAGACTCTTGGATGGATTAATTTCCGAGATTCCGACAGCGGTAGGTCCATCCACTGCGGTGTGGGTTTCCAAAAACCGCATGTCCAAGCGGTTCCTGGGTCCAGGATCAGGCTCCGATCAATATTGTGCAGGCCTCAGTTTGAACAAGCTTGACCTGAGAAACTTGCTTGGCCTGAAATTCTTTCGTCGCCTTGGCTCAGCATAGATGGCAATGAGAGCGCCGGGTGTGCCCTGAGCGCCGAAGTGGCACAAGACAGGAGCCATATGCTGGAAGTGCACAGTGGCCACGGCAGGCACGACGAGCTGCTTCCCTTTGAAGGTATAGACTTTGAATCCATTCCAATTGTGATCGATGAATCCATTGAGTCAGAAAATGTGAGCGTCAGACACGCTCGTTTCACTGGCACCTCTTCAGCTTCTCGACCTCAAAGACCAGCACGGTCAAGTCGCTCAAGATCGCACTCGCCGCGTGCTCCAAGATCTACTCGCCGCGTGCTCTCCATTAAAATCGACGACGATTTGGAGATGATTGTTCCAGACCTTTCAGATGTACCACATGGGCTCCGTGTTGGAGCCACCAACAGGGCGATCCGACAGAGAGACATCAGACCGATCCGCAGTGCAAGTTTGCCTGCTTTGTACTTGGAACCCTTCCGGACTGCGGCAAGGCCGGAGCATTGTTCGTCCTGCAAGCGAAGCTTTCAAGACGGAGACTTGCGAGTTGACTACATGATGGAGCCACAGCTTCTACCACAGTGGGTACACCTCGGGTGTGCGAGGAGAGCGAGACTGAAGAGCATTGGAGCACACCTGTCATGTCATCCGGCTGTTGCCGTAGAGGACCAAGAAGAAGCATTGAAAGAATTGGGACGTCCTGGCAGGAACTCCAGAGCACTTCAATCCTGGAACTACTTGCGCGCATTTGTGCATCATTGGAACACAGTACTTGTCCGTGAGACAGGTTTCACCGCGACCGACCACATTGTGACATTAGAAAGAACGATTGCACAGATACTTGCTTCCTTGCCTTGTGAGCAGCTTCAGAAAGACTGCGACATTTGTGCCATTTGCCATCAACCAATGGCAGTAGGAGAAATTGTATGCACTCTGCCGTGTGGTCATTTCTACCACGTTGGCTGCATCGATTCCTGGCTGCGGATTCGGACAAGGTGCCCCCTCGACAATTGCGAGATCGCAAAATATTGGAACTAATAGGGACAGCTTGATTGAGCCTTTTGCACATGTTTGCACAGTTTGTGCTGCAGCATGTTGCATGTTCATTCTGGTTTCAACCTGGTGCATGGTTGAATCTGTAGCTGGCTCAAGATCATGTTGTGAACGCCTTAGCTTCAGAAGCTTCTGCCGCTGCGGCCCCTCGAGTACGCATCTCAGCCACCAAAGTGCCTGCGATTTTTCTCAGTTGTGGACGTGGCAGAGTGAAGGTTGGGAGGCGCTGTAAGGCATGGCTGGTTCCAGTGTCGGTGCCTCAGCTTTATGTTGTTGTGAGATGTTGATTCGCTGTTCAAAAGTATTGCATACTCAATCATTTGATGGTACCAGAGCAGTGCATTCTATTTTGCCTTGGTCAGATATGGGCAGACCTCTTCAATTCTCTTCCGGAACCACCATCTGAATATCCTCCTTTGGATGAAAGGCGTGGCTTGTATCTTATTGCCTGATCGCACCCATTCCCAGATGTAGCCGGTGCGCAGGGCGTACCCGGAACGCTTCACAGATGACTATTTCCGAGACAGCCTACCAGAGTTAGAGTTCAAGTTGGAAGAGGCCAGAACGCAGCAGAGCTGTATATCCACTCTTTTGGACATGACATATGGTCCAATGGTGTCTCATGGTTCATAGTTCATTTGACGACTATGCGAGTCCTTCTCGAAAGTTCACTTCGGCTAGGCCTGTGTGAAAGGTTCAATCCAGGAGGTGGGAGGAGCTAGGCTGCTAGCCTCTTTGATTCGGGCGATGGAGCCAGGTCCATGACCTCATTCTCAAAGGTGCGGACAAAGACGCTCCCTTAGACAAGGAGCTGAAAACTCCGTGACTTGGACGGAAAAGAGGCCGTCAGAGGTCGGGAGCTGGGGGGTAAACAAGAGCAGGTTAGGTATTAGCAAGGATGCAGTAAAGCCCTGACTGCAGGAAACTGTGGATGATTTTTTAAAGTAAGAACGTAGTATCGGGTCGTACCGTGACACCCTTGCTTCAAAACAATTTCCGCGTTTTGTTCATGTTTTGTCTCTGGAATTGGCTAAGGCTGATGATAGCCTGTCAACTTGGATGGACTGTGACTCAGATTGGAGCATAGACTGATCAAGTCTTAGTGCCATCAATTGTCCAAGGTTCCATTTGGTGAAGTGGCTGGTTGAGTTTGAGGGAGTTGACATAGATGGCCCAGTATCACGATGTGGCTTTCGAGCAATTGACTATGCGGGCAAGGCAGGGAGTACTTCCAGTGAACTGACTTGATCGCTTGGCTGGCGCCAGATCGGTCTCGCGATTGTCAGGAACAATTCCGGTGGCCCAATGAGGAGGCCAAAGAACTTGTTTAGACTCTAGACATACGGTTTCACCATTTTTCACTTGTTGGGATGTTGTTTAGACATCCCTCATGATATCTGAGAACCGATTGAGAACCGGGTGGGAAGCACTCTGGTAGGTGGAGATTGCCGACTACCTGAGGTGGGAGAACTCTGGGAGTGGAAGAGCTACCGATTTAGTGTACTGAGTCTACTGTGAAACTCGAAAACTGATACAAGTTGACGGTGCATTGGTCCACTTGGTACTTGTAAGGCTTGACCAAGAGCAACATGATCGCCGGACAGCCCTTTCAGTCTAGTCGATGTGTTGCAGGAGTTTGGGCTCCAACTACACCTGGTGGGGAGCATGCTTTGCCGGCGACATTCCTCGAATAGATGAGTATTTACAAAATGGTCAGGACTGAGCACACAGCTTGATCACTCAGCTCAAAATTAAATGGGACAATCCAATCCAATGTGGAAAGCACATCACTATGGGAGGACATCAACGAAGTCAATCCAGTCCTTTGGAATTACAATGCAGTGGATTGTCGTGGCCCCAGCTCATAGAACTTTCAACATGTGACTTAGATGTTTGGTTGTCAGTCACAGCAGGATACAACTACAGATGTCGCATTCAGCATGTCGCATCGCAGAACCCTGGGAACACCAGCATGTCGCATGGCTGATCTAGGTGCCATACATGGAGGGTGTGGGAAAGCTGCCCAATTTCTTGTTGCTCGTGGTGGCATCATCACAGTTCGAAATTGTCTCTTGGCTCGAGAGGAAAACAAGCGGTCCTCGGAGTCCTCACCTTCAAAACATTGCCATTTACTTTACAGGTAATGACGTTCAACATTCTTGTATGAAGTAGTTGACGTTTTCTTTTACCTGCTCTTGTCCTCTCGACATGAATGGCAGAGGGCGAGTGGCTAGTTCTGGCTGCTTAGGCCACATCCCAGTCTGGGAAGACATGCTTTGGAGTGTTGGTCGCGGAGATGCCTTCATGTACAAGGACGTGAAAACGCCGAAACGAAGCAGTCAATTCATTGAGCTACGCTTCGCTGAAGTGAGACAGCTCCACCAAGAAGAACAGCATACAAACAGCATGGAATGGCCATGTTTGTTGGGAGAGTGGTCTCACTGTAGCAACCACTTCCGTGTGCTTGCCACCTCCACAAAAGCTTTCCAAGCTCCCCCTCAGGAGATGGGCCTGGAGGAAGGGCCTGTCACAAAGCTCTAGAAGTGAGGTGGCGCAAGAAATGATGTGGGCACAGGGGAACAGATCTCAATGCAGCTTCATGCGAACTCTTTAGCATGTCTTGACATACAGTTCTTTTGGATTTTTTTTCGGCAACTTCAACCGTTGACATCAACCTCGATGCCTTTGCTTTGAACGGGATAAAACCATATAAAACCAATGTGTACACAAAGGGGGAAAACAACCATGTTCTGACCACAGCTCTTGTTGACAGCACTGCTGGTGGCACGAGCTTCTTCGTAACGCAGCGAGACAAAAGGCTTGCTTTGGTTGCAGCTGGTCTCTGTGAGTGCACTTGGCTTGATTGTGAACCACAAACCTTTCGAAGAACGTGGGTCTTGGAGTGCCATACCGGGCCATACCCTTGCCGCTGCTAGCATAGATGCAAAAAATATAGATGCATTGTTTCGATGATTGTGGCCCTTGCATGGGTCATTCAGGTCTCCAGGCGTTCAGATTAATGAAGCCCCCTGCAAATCGCCATGGTGCGGATGCAGAAAGCGCGGCAACAGCTTTCCTTGCGCTACGCCTTCAATCTGAAGCAGAGGAGTTTTGCAAGAGCTTGGATGCAAGGACTTTGACCAAGTGCATAGGCAGACTCATCCATTAATTCTTGGAATGATTGGCATGTGACCTCTTTCAATTATTGGTAAGCTGAGATCTGAGACAAATCCTTTTAGCCTGCTCAACTCTGGAGGCCACCTTGGAAATGTTCGGAAGCCGTCAGCAGTAGCGGCGCTTTTGGATGCTTTCCAAAGGGCGGGCAGAGAGCTTGATGTCATTCATTGGAATGCTGCCATAAGTGCATGTGCCAAGAATAGTAGCTGGGCGCTTGCTTTATCTGTTTTCGAGAAGATGTCCAGCCCTGATATCATTTCCGTTGGAGCCATGATCAATGCCTTTGCAAAAGCACAGCGCTGGACGGAGCCCCTGAAGCTCTTGGATGATGCCATTCAGAAGAAGATGCAAGCTAATGCCATTGTTTTTAGTTCGAGTATTGCAGCAGGTGCCAAGTCTGGAAGATGGCAGACAGCCCTAAGCTTGCTTTTGCGAATGGGTCAGCTGGAGGTTGGAGCGAATCCATTGACACTCAGCTCAGCCATCTCATGCTGTTCGAGCACAACTGAATGGTGCCAAGCACTGCGATGTCTCCCGTGCACAAGGAGAATGAGGGCATGTTCTTCCGATAACGCAGCTACAATGCGGGGAATTGAAGGAAGCTACAATGCAGCACTCGGCGCACTCGGCGCAGATCAATGGCTTCAAAGTCTGTGGCTCTTTCAGCTCATGGCCTCGAAGCGTTGCTTGGTGAGGATTCCAACATGGAACCCACGTCAACAGCGACCCAATCGGTGAGATCTTAAAAAGGATCGTTGTAGGGACCCAAGAATTACTTCTTGACGACTTAAAAACATCTTTGTGTTGTTTTTGGAACGCGCAGATTCAGGAGTAGGTGATTCAGCAAGCCTGACTTCAGTCATCGACTCAGTCGGCAAGGCAGGCTGGTGGAGTGCAGCTTTGGACTTGCTGGAGGTTGGAAGCCAAGGCCAAAGCGACGCCATCATGTTCAGTGCACCTTGGAGCACTTGCTTGGAGCGGAACGTGCTTTTTGCATGGTCTGAGTGTGCTAAATAGATCTAAATAGTGTCCGAACACATCAAACATGGACAAGAATGGTGAATGTCAACATACTTGTAGTAGCTTTTCTCTGCAGAGGTCTATTGTGCGGTTTCAGTTCACCACACAATGTGGCCAGAATGTCATACAATGCACCAAAGATATATAAATGTACCAAAGATATCTCACTAGACTCTCGGCAGAAGGACTATACAAATCTACCCCTAGAAGGAAGAGTGATTTTTGATCTGTGAGACGCACCAGACAGGCAGGACGAATCAGCTCTAAGGCCGCCATCAATGCTTGTGAAAAATGCGCGTGCTGGCAATTGGCACTGGGACTTCTTGCCAGAATGGGGCCAAGGACAAAAATCACCAGAGTTGGAGGCCATCTCTAGTAGGTTGGAGGCCATCGTTATTAGGTTGGAGGCCATCGCTAGTAGGTTTCCACCACTGCATCCGATTCGCCAGAGATGCAGGAGCTGTGCAGCGTGCAATGCGGCCATCAGTGCTTGTAGCAAAGCAACGGCATGGGTTGCTGGGTTGAGCTTGTTCAACCACATGGTCACCCAGGAATGCAATAGGATTTTCAGGATGTGTGTTGTTGTCCCTTCAAATTTCTCCCTAAAGGGTTCCATTTTAGTACTAGTGTTGTTTCACCGCCAAAAGTGCTTATTTCCGAACTGGCGGGAACCGCCTGAGCGCACATGATGTTGCATGGATGAATGTTGCAAGAAGAAGAAGAAGAAGCAGAAGCAGAAGAAGAAGAATAAGCAGAAGCAGAAGCAGAAGAAGAAGAAGAAGAAGCAGAAGCAGAAGCAGAAGAAGAAGAAGAAGAAGAATAATAAGAAGAAGAAACAGAAGCAGAAGCAGAAGCAGAAGAAGCAGATGATGATCACCTATACTATACACTACACTTATTTTCTGTCTTGCTTAAAGCAAACTGAAGACCGTAGGGCGAAGCTTTTAGGAACACTGACCCTTGGAAATTTGATTTTCAGCCCCAAGGACATTGTCTACGCTTTGTTTTTCCTATCCGACTTCGCATAAATTCGGGCAAAGAAGACTTGGAACATGTGGGACATGCAAGTAAGACAATGTGATGGATAATCCTGCGATTGTGTCATGCCCCACTCTATAATATCTCTCACAACCAAAGAAATCATGGAAAACTCGCCCATATGAGGCTTTGATGGAACTTCGCAGAGACACGATTTCTTGCAATTCCTTGCTGAATGCATGCGACAAAAGTCAACAATGGATGCTGTCCTTGCATGTGCTGGAGACAATGAGGACTGAAGGAATTCAACAAGACGCCCCTGCCTCAGACGGATCACATTCACAAGAGTGCATCTTCACACAATTGCTATTTTATGCCTGTATTTGTTGCTTGTTTACTTTTCTTGGGGAGGCGCCGAGAAGACGTAGGGGAAGTGGCAAGGTGCTTTACAAAATCGGACGGAGAAGACCCCTTCGCATGGCCGATTTGGTTCCTAGATGTTCAAGGAAACTGAACCTGTTGGGGGGACACCCCTGTTCCAGCAAGGTGCAACAGGTGCAACTGCCAACACCAGGGATGACGATGGCAACCCCCGGTCAGAGTCGTCATTCAAACGGTGGCGGCCTCCCTCTCAAGTCCTTTTCATAAATCAGCTGGTTTGGCAGACGCGATACTGTAACTGGTGTAGTTTCGTTTCTGTGCAGAACAGGACGATTTCGCATGAACTAAGGCGATCACATTCACAGCAGTTCTTGGTGCTTGCGAGACCTCTGACCAGTGGGCGGTAACCATGCACCTTCTTCAAGAAGTACTTGATGGTGGCTATTGTGATTGGCAGGCGGATGACATTGACTATGTGCACTACTTTCAAGCCGGTTCTCCTTATGACTGTTTGAAGCACATGTTGATTCTGCACACCCTAACCAGCATGGTAAATGATGCCTCGCCGTTCTTGTACGTGGATACTCATGCTGGTACTGGAATCTATGATTTGAAGTCACCAGAGGCGCAAAGATTTCAGAACCACCAAGGTGGCATTCTAAGTTTGATGAAGGTTGAGAGACACGCAGCTTCGAAGGCGCTCTCAGACTACTTGAGATTACATGGAATTTTCCCACGACTCTGTCGCAAGGGTAGTACCTTTGAAGAGACATATTTGGGCTCACCAGCCATTGCTCAGTTGTTCCTGCGACCTCAGGATGCTGCCATTTTGTTTGATGCATCTCCACAAGTGGCTTCTGCACTGGACAGGAATCTGCAGTCACTTTCTGGGACGTCGAATACCGAGGTGTTCTGCACCAGTTCCTACAAATGGTTCTCAAAGAGTATCAAATCACAGTACCAGAGGTACGCTCATCTCAGCCGTGTACTTGCTCTAATTGACCCACCATATGACTCTGCAAGCTCGTCTGACAAATGGAACCTCTTCCTGGTGAAGCGCATCCGGACGATGTGGCCTCAGAGTTGTGTTCTTCTTTGGTATCCCTTCGTTTCGGAAGGTCAGACGAAGCAAGGCTTAGACTCACGTAGATTTGTCCTTTTGTGGTACGTTTCCTCAGTCCGTCTTACCTTGTCCCGAGAAACTTGGACAGTCATTTTATATACTGTAGTGGTTCTACAAAGGGTTTTCCTCATAGTCATAGAGGTTTGGGTCAACTGGGTACCCTGCGTAGTAAGTATGCATTTGTTCTCTTCATTCTTGACAGATTTAAACATACCACCTATTCTCTACCCCCACCCAGCCCCTGAATCTGAAGATGAGAGGAAGCGTCTCGATCAGCGCTTGGTTGCTATGGAGATCGGCACAGTTCTTGTGGCCGATTTGGCCGTGTCGCCAAAGAATGATGCGCCCTCAGAATCAAGGCGCGGCCCTGCGGACCCTGCAGGCTGTGTCACGCCGTGCCGCTGTCAAGTCGGGTGAGAGGAAGACGGCAGGTCTTAGATGGTTGACATTCTTGAAAGTTGGATCCAAATCGATTGTCCATATCAAGTTGCAGTACATATTTTAAAGATTTTTATAGTATATATACAACAAAAACAACACACGCATATATAACTATATATATATACATTTATACTTCCATGGACTGAGAACTTCTGTGAGAACATGTGGTGACATCTTGAGCATTTGTTGGTGGCAGGTCATCTATGGTGATCGTGAATCCACCCAGCTCCTTTGAGCAGCTGGATTTTTTGCTTGAAGATTTGAGAAGGAATCTGGAGCGCGGCAATTCCAAGTGCCAAGCACTGGTATCATTTCGCCGTCTGGAAAAAGGTTTCTAGTGGGGAGCCGGATGTCCTTGTATGAATCATTCCGATTTCTGAAAGAAGAGGGTTCTTGTGATGCTATTCAGGTCACAACCGGGGCTTTGAAGCAGCCTGCACAGCCATTGAAAACCAGTCCAAGTCTCAGGCTTCTAAGGGCAAAATCGAATACCAAGCAAGCAAGGACGAGACCGAGACACCTTCTGTCCTAGGTGGCCACAGCTCCACCTTTGGCGGTCTCTCGTGGAACTACACATGGACTGTCCGACATGCTTCGTCCTCCGCTTTGGATCAGACAAAAGACCCCTTCGGCTTTTCCGCGGGACCTCAGTAGTGCCAGGCCTTTGGTGAAAGCCTTCCTTGGGACAACACCTCGAGGTTGGCAGGCAGGGTGGTGAGATGATGAGAGATGATACGACATGATGACAATTCACAAGTGCCGTTGCCGCAGGTGATGCTAACTCCACCCTACGACACCAGCACCATTTTTACCTTCCTCAACGGCAAGCAGTTCTCGCTGTGACAACCTCGGTGCTTGTTTGTGTTTCAGCCTTGCACTAGAATGGACTACGATGCGGATGTCTACGGAATTTGCTCAGCTCAGGCGGAAGTTGGAGTTTACCTCTCCATCCGAAAATAGCATCGATGGGCAGAGTGAGGGGGCTTAATGAAACCATAAACCACTATGTGCATTGCCGTGCATCGCCGGCTTTGAGGTTTTGACATGGAGATGCAGCTGGTACATGCTGTTGTGCTCTCAATGACGCTCGTTGTGGCCTGCTAACAGATTCGTTGAAACTTCTCAGGCATCTGATGGTCAGATGCTGATCAGTTCAGTCTTCCTTAAGGCCCGACGCATCCGTCGGTCATCGGGAGTTGAAGCTTGCATGTGCGGCTCAAATGCCTCAATTCCTAGGTTGGACTCGTCGATGGCAACGAGTACTTGAGCACGTCCCCTTTCTCAGTACCAAATCCAAATCTTGCAACGCATGAGATATGAATGATATGATGGTACCTCAAAATCATCACTCTTCCAAGTCTACTAATAGGACAGATCAAGAACATTTGCTGGCGGGTGGTTATACCCATCTTAGACATACCTTTGATTGAATTTTAGAAGTGATGATGCATTTTTCTGCGAGGTTCTGGCCGCAATTCCCACCGAAGGTCACTCCAGATGGGTGGGGAAGCCCACGTCGATGGGTCGGATGATGGGAGTGGGAACATCGGCAGAGCGATGCTGATCGATGAGGACTGCGGCTCAGATTGCCAACCCTTACTACGCTGCTCTTCCAGGCCTGTGCTTTCAAGAAAGCTCGGGCCCGGGCTGGGCCTATGATGGTTTTCTATGTTTTTTCCATACATCTTGTCTGCAGGAGGTCGCTCTTGCTTTATTTTCAATGGCAGCGGAACCGTACCTCCATGCGGGACTGCAAGTTTGTGTTGCAGTGCCATAGCACTTTGGGACAAATGATGACAAATGCCTACATCAGAAGTGCCACAATCAATCCATCCTTCAAGGACGGACACCATTTGGATGGTCTTCAAGGAGCCCCTGGTGATCAGCCGTGCGCAACGGGATTTGTACCGCGGAGACGAAGCCTTGGAGAGCGAGATCTGGCGGCGGAACGGCTGAGTTTGGAGAGCCGAGGCGCTGAACGCCAGCTCAGCCCACTCGGGCTTTTTGCGCTTTGCTCCTCCTCCAGCAGGTGAAAAAAAACGCCCAAAACACGTCGGGCGTTGTTTGAATGCCACAGAACAAAGTATAGAGAGTCATTGCTATAGTGACTTAAGTACTGTGACAGTACTGTATTGCTTCAAGGTCTCCCGATGAGTTGGCTTTCAACTCAGCCAGGGTTTTGACTCGTGGAGTGAGTGCAGGTGTGGTGCAGCCTTGGAGCACCGACTTGGGCATGAACAACAGGCCCGAATACGGCACCTTCCATCGCTAGTAGGTTGGAGGCCATCGCTATTAAGAGTGCATGCAAAGCCGACTTAGGATCACGCAGCCCCAAGGGAGCAGACCTGCCGCTAGCCCAATTTGTAACTCGAGGCGCTCAGAGTTCACAAAGAGCCTCAGCATGAAGAGCACTTGTTTTGTGAAGAAGATACATGAGAATATGTCAGGATACTCAGAAAAGGCTTTACTATGCAGATGAGGTCCTGTTTCTTCCAATGTCCAATCCGCCTACGACGTCGGAGACTTACAGTACCTGATGACCTCAAACTTGTTGCTTCGCAGCATGGCCATGAATGGTTCAGGATGTCTTTTGATTTGGATGGTCATTTTTGGGCCACTTGGCACACAGCCCATGGTGGCCTGTACGGCCGTACGGATGGCGAGTTGTGATCGTTTGGTCTTTGCATTCGGTGCCTGGTGGTGCGTTTTGGTGCCACAATTCCAAGATTTCACAACATGCTTTATCCAAGGGCTTCTTGGGCATTGGTCTTTTGGCTCTCTCTGTTCTCATCGGAGCCTTGGCCGGAATGCGGCCAAGAGGAGGCCCATGTAAAGCTCAATGAAGTAAAGCACAGAGAGACGTTCCATGGTACCAGATGGTGTTTGGGTGGAAATCTCAGCATCAACTGGCCCGAGAATATCTAAGGGCTCCTGGCTTTGATCTGCCTGCTTTGTTCCGGGGCTGTGGCTTGGCTCGCGAAGAAGACACTCTTGCAGATACAGAATCATTAGGATGATATTGGATGCTCCTAATGATCCCTGTCAATATCAGGAGAGCACATATAGATGCAAGGCAATTGAATTCCCGCAAACATGGTGAGCCTTTGCAAACTAACTCGTATAATATAAACTGTATTGGCCAATATCATTTCAAGAGACATGACATGAATTATCGAGGAGGAGAGATTGGCAGGGTAAGTGTGCCTTTCGAGGCGAAACGGAATGTCCGCAGCAAGGTGCGCCTTCAAGAAATGCAGAAGCAATCAGAAGCACGTTTTTTTGATTTTGTTTATTGATTGTGTCAGGAAGTCTACAGTGCAGAAAGTGATGAGGCCATCGACCTATTCGATCCATTGACAGGGCCATACATTTGCTGGAAAATTGGGCAAAGTGCCGGTCAGGACCGGCAGCCCCTGCGGAGGCCCTGTGTAGAGAATGTCCTTGTTACTAGTAGCTTCTTGTTTCTCGTAGCTTCTTGTTACTACTAGTAAGGCACTTGTCACTATATAGAAGCGATGCACTTGTTCCTAGTAGCTTCTTGTTCCTGTGTAGAGAATGTTATGGGCATTTGCACAATCTTTCTCGACTTGGACAGGTTTCCACAGCCTGTAGCGAATGCCCCGCCATTCCCTGAGCCCATTCCGTTTGAAACCCACGCTATTATCTAAAATCATCTAAAATCATCGATTGATTGCGAAGGATGCAGCAGAGGCAGCAAATGCACCCGCAAGTGCAGCTTTGGCAACAGCCACCAAGCATGGGACTCTTGGCATTGACGGTTTGTTTTTGCCAAATCTCCAAGTCATTCCAAGTCAACTTTCGAGCAACGCCACCAAGGCGTTATGCCACAGTCGCAGATGGGGGGGAGACCGCCCTTCTGCCATGGTTGAGAGCCGAATGCCACGTTGCACTTGTTCCTAGTAGCGTCCTTGCTCCTAGTAGCGATGCCAGGAGCCCCTAGTAGCTTCTTGTTACTGCTAGTAAGGCACTTGTTACTAGTAGCGATGCACTTGTTCCTAGTTTCTTCTTGCCCCTGCAAGGCCAATGACACAGCCCATGCAATTTGGGGGCCCTGGACAAGCGCGCTACATGCGGTGAGGTCGCTATCCCGAAGAACACTCTGCTGTTCCCGTAGTCTCTGAATCGCACCACGCTCTTGTCGCAAGGGGCAATGAAGTCCAAGATAGTCCAAGACCTCAAGGCCGATTGAAGTGTCCTTTGAACGGTAAAGAGGTGCAGTAGTTTGTCGAACTTCGACCCGCACGAAGGTTGTGATGCCCAATTCGTTTGCATACATAGCTTTCAGTGGGAGTCGCAGCGCAGAGCTGCAAGGAAAACTGCGTTCGAGTCGCTGCTTGAAAGTGCTTCAGTTTGTTGGACCAAACTCTTCCCAGTCAACAGAAACACCTATTGCCAGATCAATAAACCTGTTTTCAGACACTGACATAAACGCCAGCAATTGGCGTCAATAAGTATTTATTCTCCGATAGTGCCAACGATTCTTTTGATGTTCGGCACAACCGGACCTCCACTTCATATGATCCAGAATCACTCCTTTGACACCACATCTTCCTTTCCTCCCGTACTCCTTCAAACGAGTTGATATGTGGTAGTGTTTGGTCCTACAATTGTTGTTTGCATGAGGATTATGCTTGCCTTAAGCAAGCTAAAGTTAATATGCGTTAATAGTTCTTTATGGCAATGGAGGTGATTATGGTACATGTGTTGTGATGGCTATTCTATTTGTTTTGGGTACAGTAGTTCTGTAAGTACTGTCTGTGCTAGCTTCAGCAATAGAAACCCCAACTGGGAAGATTGGTGTGCCAAAGTAGACCTTTGCATAGATCAATATAGATAAATTATATATATATAGAGCAATTTGATGCAGGAAAATAAGTCCACTACGGTTTTGCAGTTGGCACCGTTTCGGAAGCTGCTAGCGGCCCATTAAGGGCTCCATTCCAGCCTTGCTACTTGTACTGCCAACTTAAGCTTGCACACTTCCGCTATCGTGCCGCAGCACCCATCACCATATAAGCTTCACCCAGACGCTAGCAAAACATCCAGCAACATTTTGCTTAGACTCTAGCCTGTGCGATATGAGTGCAATCCTGCACTTTCCAATACTGCAAGTTGTTCAATGTTTACATTGTGTGCAGGGACCGATAGGAGACCATAGGAGGCGTCTAGATTTGTTGGTCACTTATGGAGGGCGATATGAAGCTGGGGCAGCTGGCACCGGAGCAGTCAGTGCAGCTCTGTATCATGGTGCATGGCATGGGAGGTACTGATGCAGATTGGGACACCTGGGTCGATGTGCTGAAGAACCTCTATCCACATTGGATCTTATGGCCGTTGCAAAAGATGGCAGCAGGCTGCAGGTTCATGAGCAAAGATTTGCGCGAGCTTTCTGCCATGGCGGCAACAGAGGTTCTGGAGGTTATACAAGAGCAGAGGAGGGATATGAGCTCGAACACAAAGGTTGTCCTGCATTGCATAGGCCATTCGATGGGAGGCTTGATCATCCGTGGAGCACTGCCTAGAATAGTCGAGGAGTTTGATGGCTCAATTGAGCTGGGTCACTATCTCTCCCTTTCATCTCCGCACCTCGGTATACAGTCCAGCTGGCTGCAACCTTTGCATGCTTGGCGAAACCTGTGTTGGCTCTCCTGGCCCTTTTCCAAGCAGCTGTCACAGCTTGCGATTCAAGACTGCTCGTCCAATCCATTCCTGTTCGAGATCAGCAAATCTGAAGAGGAACACATGAGTGTTTTGGGACAATTTCAAGAGCAAACCTGCGTGTCTGTTGCTTTTGGAGATCCTTTAATTCCTGTTGCCTCCGGGCTCATTGATCCCGAAGTGCTCTTGACGAGTCACAGCATGGTGGACATGTCCTTTTGGCACTTGCGCTTTGACGAGTCCTTCTCCGAGCAGATGGTGGGGATGGAACACAAGGACGGGCATGAACTCTTTGTATCACTCTGCTACGTCGTCGTTTGTTTTTTTGTTTCATCACTGTCTCTTGAGGTATGCAGGGCTCTTACAGGGCTCTAACAAGAACTCGTGGACATATTATGACGACATCCATCACCCCAAAACCTGTATTCTCAGGTCTCGGGGTTCCCTCCTTTTCTGGGTCCCAGCAAGTGAGCGAACTGGTTAAATCAACCAATCAAGCAGGTCTGTTGAACCATATCCATGGCCAGGAGGCCACAGGATGGTTGAAGATTCCAGCGACAATGCTCGCTGCGATGCAGCTTCTCTTGAACATTGTCTTCCGAATTCTCGTAGCGATTACATCATTGGGCAGTCTTGCCAGGACTGCACAGGTGTGAAACAACATTACAGAACACCGATGTTGATGGGAAGTTGTGGAAATGGGAAGTTGTTTCAGCCATGAGAGGACACCCATCAGCAGAATTAATCTCATGGATAAGGTGAGCATGAGCCCAAAGACTCCATCAAGCCCAGCAAGTCCGTCCAAGTCACTCTCCTGGGCATTTTCCAAGGCGCCAAGTGATCGGCCGACACCACACCTGCATCCTGGTGCACTGTTTTGAAAAAGAATGGTGCATCCTAGGTTCAAAGGAAGTCTTTCGTGTGAGTGCAGGATCTGAAATGCAAATTTCCCGAAGATTCTTGGCAAAATCTAGACAAGGTGATGTTCGCCGGACCCAGGCTAACTCTGAGATATGCTAAGTGGTTAACATAAAGACAAGGAAGTTTGATGTTCCGCCTGCTTCAATCAACGCGCTTGGCAAACCAGGAAATCTACGATGGACTTGTCTCAGTGCCATGGCGCCGGGTCGTTGCTCATGCCCATCATCGTTTGATCGCCAAGAATATGTGGCTGATTTGCAATAAATGATGCACGTTGCGGAGGGAAGTCGCACACCCCCAAAAAGAAATTCACAGAGCAGTTGGCCAGAAGATTGGCCATGTTCTCTGGAAATGCTCTCACAATCTCACAATATCAAGCTGACAGGCATGTGTTCCTCATCGGCAAACATGCTGAACAGTTTGCTCACGAGAGTCGCGGCTGAAAGAGCAAGGTGTTGTTCGAAGTTTTTGCGCATAGCAAACTTACCGTGTAGCCCACTACCGTCCTGTGTTTGGCAGACCAGTCAGAGTCGCTCCCTCTTCATTGATTGCAGGGCACGCTTGTTTCAAGCAGATTTGATTGGTCTTTTGTCAGAGATGTACTTTTCCATTTCCTCATAACAGAATGGGCTAACGCCCTAGTTCCGCCAACCTCCGCCAACCCCCTTCATGCGTGTAGCCGGAGACCACATAGCTGCAGTTGAACAGTTTTGTCAGGCAATGTTTTAAAAAGAGGCATCGGATGCGTGCTGACTTCGACCCATGCGCAAGATTATATAACATGAGCAGGATCCAGAGTGCTTTGTTGAAGATCTGGGATAAAGCGCAACTCCAAGTGGGCCGTCTTTGACAAGCAGAAGTGGTGAGGAGGAGAAAACGGGCGAATGTTGGGCTAAGGTGCTGAACTGCACGCTCATCAGAAACCACAAAAGGGTGTTGGCTCATTTTGACAGCGGTGGTGTTGACAAGAAGACGGCAGAAATGAGGAGCAGAAGAAGCAGCAAGTAGCCGCCACCGAAGTCTTTGGACAGGCCGAAGCCCAAGAGTTACAACTGCCCCTCCACCATCACCCGACGCAAAAGCAATACCGGCAATGCCCCTACGAGTGCCCCCAACATGTGGGGGCAGCATGAAGAGCATAGTCTGGTCGGGGCAAACAGAAACGCATGGATAGGTGTGCAAGACCCGATTCTATGTGTCCAATGGAATGCCGCTGACGCCTACAATTGCCCTTATCCAACCTTTATCCCAAAGAGGTACTGAAAATGAAGTGAAGATAGAGCAAATCAATCAGGCAAAAGATAGGAAGGTGTGGGTTTACACACCGATGCTGATGCCCATCATGCTATGCCGCTGTCCAATCCAAGAAAGAAGTATGGTCAGAGGTTCCCACACATATTCGCGCAGCCGTGCATGCCGATGCCCACACCGTGTCCCCGAATGTCCTCAAAACGCTTGCCCGTCGGAAAAGGTGCCCAAACGGGCCACCAAGCAGCATCCACAAGCGTCAGACGCCGGCTTCCATGCCCGCTGTTCCTAGTAGCGATGCCAGGAGCCCCCGGTAGCGTCCTTGCTCCTAGTAGTAAGGCCAGGAGCCCCTAGTAGCTTCTTGTTCCTAGTAGCGATGCCAGGAGCCCCTAGTAGAGGAGAACGACTGTAGCAGAGGAGACGCCACCCTCCGCTGGTTCGCCGCTTGCCAAAGCTGCCCTCTTCCGTGTCCCAGGCGCCGCCCCACCTGGCTGGGGTGGGCGGATTACTTTGCTCGTAGCACCTTGTGACGCTTCTTCAGGCACCAAATGTCACGACAGTGCATTGAACAGTTGGCTAAGCTCTTGGCATGCAATGGTCATTATTTGTATGAAAGTGTGGAACATCAGAAGACGATGTCTTTGTAGTGATGGATGGCGTCCACCTTTCACGCCCTTTAATGCCTCATTTCGAGGCATGGGGAATTATTCCACATGCCAACATGCAGGTTGTGTCGAAAAGCCACAACCTCCAGGATGCATGTGGACTCCGGCCATCTGGAGCTGGCAAGATCCATAGAAGATCGCTTGTTTTCCGGAAGAATCCAGGTGTTCAACTCTAATCGCGCAAGGTCCGCAAAGGGGCAAGTATCCCAGTAGCCGCTCTTCAACTGTTCCAAGGGTTCTTGCTGGGCTTCCCTAAAGGTGCACGATGCCGCTTGGCAGTGCGCCGCCTTGCCTAAGCAAGGATCTTATTAGAGACCACACTCCTGTAGGGAGGTTGACAAGTGGTGCATGAAACAAAGCAGCGAGGTTTGTTGTCACATGGAAACCGAACACAGCCTAGACAGGCCTGGGTCGTTTGGATGACAGCATGCTGGCAGCTGTTGTGGCTCTCCACGGCACAGCCCGAGATTACTCCTTGAAACCCTACCGCCAAAAGCATCAAGGAAGGTCCAATCCCATCGCCCGAATGAGCCACCATGGTCACGGGAGCAAGCGCAAGCAGCGCTCGAGGCTGGGAGATTTCCCGTTCTCCCAGATCCGCTCAAGACTGTCCGCAGCAGGCATGGATGGCTTGTAGCTGGTGTGGCTGCTGCAGGCGCAGAGAGTCGTCATAGATGGTTCATCATCTTAAGACCACAAAACACATGCGCAGCACATGCATCACAGCTTGCAGGGGTCTCGCAACATGGCTTGAGCCCAGACAAAGCGCGTGGACCCAGCCATGTGAAGCAAGCAGGGGCAAATCACGGATTGTCAGCCGAGAAGCGGCAGTGAGGCCTGGATGCAGCTCAGATCAGTTCGTCCAGATCAAGCCAAGATTTGCACCTCGCGCCGAGGCCAGGAGAACGAAAGATCAAATAAGGCCAGGAGCCCCTAGTGCGTCGTTGCTCCTAGTAGCCAGGAGCCCCCCAGTAGCGTCCTTGCTCCTAGTAGCCAGGAGCCCCCAGTAGCGTCCTTGCTCC